CTTAGCCGCGGCTGCAGCTGCTCTCCTATCCTCCCATGACCCTCTCCGTCCCTCAGCGGCTGAGGATGCAGCAGAGGTGGCTAGGTGATTTGGAGGGCGGCGGGGCACAGGCAGCATGGTGGCGGAGCGGCCGCGCATGGGGGCGGCGTGCGGCAACGGCTCGCACGGGGGGCGTGGGCGGCTCAGGCGAGGCGCGGTCGTGCGCGGCGGCAGCTCGGGCCATCGGGGTGAGACCAGAGCGCTCGCGAATCCTCGCCAACCCGCTTAGAATGTTCTCGTCCCCATGACCCGGGCGCTCGTGAATCGTAACCTCCGCGGGGCCGGGGCCAGGGCCGCCTAGATGGGCGCGCTTGCCACGGCGGTGCGAGAGAACGGGGCCACGGACAGGTTGTGGCCTGGCGGCGCACAGGCCGCGTGGACGAGCTGCGGCGTGCGGGCGCACGAGATGGATGCGTGGAGGATGAACGCGATGGAGGAGGCAACGAGGTTGGTCTACGCCAGCTCGGCAACTAACGGGCGCAACGAGGGCGTGAGACATGTCTCTGGTTGCTTGCTTCGCTTTGCTTAGAGATGCTCTCGCCGGTGCGGCCAGTTGCGCTGGAATTCAGACAACCTTATGCTTTGATCTAGCCCCTAGGATGTGGAGTTCTAGCAGTTTACAAGTTTCCAAACTATGTCTTCTCTCTAAACCAGAGCCAAGCTCTGAGTTTTCATTGGGCCATTGAAGTGGCTTTTCAAAAGCATATTCATCATCATCATGTATAGAAGTAGACATCTATTTTCAGTTCATGGGTTGTAAGTTTCTGAAGGGAGACCCACCATGTGTCCTGCTTGTTAAAATTTTATGTTCAAAATCATATTTTTTATATTTATATTATATGAATGAACTATTTGAAGTTACTTTCATGGTAATGTTTCAGTGGAGGTAATCTAACACCAGGGTTAATTCCAATTAAAATCCATCAGAAGTGAATTTTAATCTTGTTTCACATCTTGCTGAATCAACTTCATAATTTTTGAGTTGTCTTGGTAAACCTTGCCAAGGCCGGTGCAGACACAAGTGCTGGGAACAACTAGAGGTGTGCTTATCTGATCTTTACCATGAAACAGATGTGCAGGCTTAGTTTGTGGTCGTCGACCTAATCTATGATGCTGCCAGGTCCACCTCCAGCGCTCACAGGCATCCAGGTGTCGCGCCCATGTATATGCTGGCAAATTTTATTCCCTTTTTCTCCATGAAAAGGTAGTTTAAGCTGATTTGTGATGATAAGCTTAAACAAACACAGGTAAGGACAGCTCCTATTGTATTCCTTTTGAAATGATGCTTTGACCCTTTAACTATGATGTTAGTAGCAGATAGCTGACCCTGACCTTCCTTGCATTGGTGTGCTAGTGGTAGTGTGAGGTATGTCTCCAACTCCATGCTTGAGTTCCTCGAGAAGAACGGCAAGAAGAGGTCTGCAAGGAGACTATCGAGCTCACCATGAGAACACTACTTGAGTTATATACCCAGCACCTAATAATTATCAAATACTCTCTTTCAATTAGATAGAGATCCTAAACAGGGACCATTCAGAGAAATATAGATACTTAAAGAGTGTCAATTGAGAGTAATTAGCATAGGAGGAGAAAGATCAAGTACTTAATATTAACAATAATTTTCTGATAAACTGAACCAAATGATATGCCATGTGCTACTGATAGTTATATGTTTTCTTTCTTTATATTTAGTATATTAAGACCAAACAATATTGTTGCGTAGGAAAGCAGGATACTTTTGTTATCAGATAGGCAACACTTGTATTGTAGTGTAATTGTGTAAATAGAACATACTATGTTTATATTGTTTCTACTACTATTAACTAAGCCGTTGTTCATCCCTACCCGTACATTTCATTAAGTTGTGCTAAACAACCATTCATACATGTTTCAGTGGACATACAATTTTTTAGTAAACAGATTCTATTGTTCTCATGATACCTATCACCCAAATTTAATCGCACATTTCTCGAAACAGGGCTATGTCTAATTCTGAAAATATTCACCGTAAACTAACAATACACAACTCTTGAAATTTAAATGTGAATGCTAACTTGTATTTTTACCGTTTGGAGAATCTGAAACAACAGATTGCAATCTCTTCACATATCTCCTTATGGCTATAAGCTAATGCATACTTTTTTTTGAACCATGCATTCCTTATGTATGTATTTCGCTACAGAACAATTTCATCAGTTAGAAGTCACTACAGCTGGTGAATCATTTTTTATGATGATTCTCCAATTGCTTGACACCTTGTTGATTCTATGTCATTAGGTTGCACATCCAATTGCCACATGGCTCTAAAGCTTATGAAATTGTGTCATACACTCCACAGATTGCAAGATTTCGTACTAAAAAAATCTAAGGCTTCGTGTGAACCTGAAAATGGGCAATATACAAATGATATATGTGTGGACTTCATTTTTAGTTAGATGTACGCGTTTACTGCAGTATCTAATTGATTGGTTGTTTTTACATTTTCCATCTTCCGAGATACAATAGGCAAAGTATCATGATACCAATATAACTATAATATATTGTTGAATATTAGCTTACTTGGTCAGTGTTGTATGTACTTGGAGGGTTTAACACCCTCTCTGCTTTATGTACTTTTTCTTCTTAATGAAATGGCACACAGCTGTGCAGAGTCAGATTCCTGTTTTTAACTTAGTAGTCTGCGAAGTTTTGACACTGCTGTAATAAAGGTGAAGGTCAATAGTGGTCCATTTGGACAAGAGAGATTCATGTGTTTGCTTGCTCCAATGGGACGCCGAACCGGGATCCAACAGCAGCAGGCGCACGGCAAGGCCACGCGTAGTTTCTAGTCAAACTCTAAAACCGGACACCTTACCCCTATCAAGTCTCTTGTACGAATGCATTCAACATAAATGTATGTTGCGTCATCAATAGTTGGGAGTTTTCATACTCCTCCTAGTTGTCTGTAAATAATATGTTTTATTTTCTTTTATTCGTCTAATAAAAATACGGCAAAGCTTTTGCCGTCTTTCTAAAAAAAATAAATGTATGTTGCGTTCTTGCTTGTTGCATCTCGTCTTTTTATTGTGAAAAGTTTTGTAAAAAAAACATTTAGACATCAGCACTACTGGAAAGTCGAAATACCCTGACGGTTTCGGTTTTTTTTACGGTTATTGAGAAAACCATCAGGGTAAATTCAATTTTTTGACGGTTATCGTAAAACACACAGGGAAAATGAATAACCATCAGGGAAATTTGTATTAACCTGTGTGTTTAAGAAACCGACAGGGTAAATAATTAGTTTGTCGGTTTTTGAATTTACCCTGACGGTGATTTTAATTACACACAGGGAAATTATTGGAAGGCGCAAAAATGCTGAAAAAGGCACGCCAGAAGTTTTCGCCATCCCTCCAAAGAATGAGAGGCGGGCCGAAAGCCCGCCAAAAAATTCCATCCCACATCCCCTATGCCTTCAAGCTCTTCAGGTGGCCGATGCTAAAAAAAAAGTGGCTACATCAGCCAGAAGAGGGAAAAAAAAAAAAAAAAAAAGGCAAACCCTATCTCCCCACACCACACCGCACGGGTACTCCCACCTCTCCCAAGCACCGCAACAATTTCTTCTCCACTCACGCCAAGGCGCTGCCTCCCCACGCCGACTGCTCCTGCCACCTCCCCCCGCCCGCCGCCTCCATCTTCCCCACGGAGAGCTCCCACGCTACGGGCGCGGGTCCTCTCTCACGCCGCCCTATCTTCCCCACGGAGCTACCGCACGCCGCCGCCCCAACTTCCCCACGCCGCCTCGCCTCGTCGGCCTCCCTTACGCCGTCCAAGAACCCCATCTGTGCCTCCACCACACCGCCCGCTTCGTCCACCTCTCTCTACTCCACGCCGCCATGGCTCCCCTGTGGCTTCCACACCAAGTGCCGCCTTTGAGACGAGCAGACGCCATGGCTCCTCGGGACACCACTGGCTCCTCCACGCCTCCATACGGTGTGTTCTGTCTTCCACTATAGATCGATTGATTCTTCCTCATTAATCGAGCTGCAGTGCATGTATCGCTTATCACACCTGTTAATGGCAATATAGAGTTATTTTATTTGAGACAAATCAGTCTCCATTATAGGCACGTTCCGTATCTATTGATGTACGTAGACTATTGAGTCTTGGATGCGGAGGAGAACATATATTACATATTGTTTCTTTGTACACACTTACATTACAACTTGATAGTTCGGACCCTTGTTAGATAGATCTTTTAACAATTAAGATCTTCATTATTGGGATAACTAAGAGGAGTCCAGATTCCAGTCTCCATTCAAGAACTCATTTGTCGCTCCATCGAGAAACACGCGCGAGCGAAGGAGGTCCGGCGGAAGGCGGTGACACCGGATCTGGAGAAGACAGGATCCACGCTGGAGGTGAAGGGCCCGTGAGCTGAGCTTCCTGGTTCCAGGATCAAGGTTAATCTATGTTCCTTTCTCGTTGTGATGTTGCCTGCATTTATTTTCCTTTGGCATTTGGCTGTGATTCAATTCAGCGAGAACTTCACTTGAGCAATGTTAAAGAATGGTGAACCCAGATCGTTTTATGGACAACTGTAGTTTAGTTCTATATTAATAAAAAACAAATCTTTGATTGTTTCTTGATTTAAAACAGTGTGGTTTTCATGCAGTGTAGATTTTCTGATCTAAAATAATACTAAACAGAAATCTAACATGTTAATCTTTCAATACAGAACTTATTAACATGTCAAACCGCTCATGGATGTATAGTGGTTGGCAGCGTGGTAACTTTTCTAATGAATGGATTAATCAAAGTATTGTGTTCTTGAATCATGCATTTGCATTTCTGGGTGTAGCTCAAAATGGTACCATCAAGTGTCCTTGTGCCAAGTGCCGGAACTATTTTAGACACCCAAGAAAACTGTAGAATTGCACCTATGTAAGCATGGTTTTAAGGAAGGATATGAAACATGGACGAGCATGGAGAGGGGATCATTAGTCATACCTGAATTTGACAATGCAATAAATAGAGAGGGTTTTGATGAGACCGACCATATGGATGAAATGCTAGTTGATCTAGTCAGGGCCCATCCACTGCGCAGAGATGAACCAACACCATATGCTAAAGCTTTCTACAGGATGGTCGCTAGTGCAGATGAGTTGGTGCACGAGAAAACCAATCACTCATGCATGTCCACGGTTGCTCGATTGCTTGCCGTAAAGTCACGATACAACATGCCTATTGCAGAATATGATGACATCTTAGATATTGTCCATGAACTTCTTCCTCCAGATTCTAAGCTACTTGACAACTTCTACCAATCAAAGAAATTATTGGAGGGTCTTGGTATGCCATATGTGAAAATTGATGTTTGCTACAACAATTGCATGCTTTTCTACAAAGATAATGAGAATAAAGAGAAATGTGATTTTTGTAAAGCCAATCGATATGAGGATGGTGGGAAGAAAATTCCACGCAAAGTTTTGTGTTATCTTCCCATCAAAGATAGGCTGCAAAGGTTGTTTCTACACCCCGAAACAGCCAAACTAATGTATGCACCTAGTCCCTCAACGAATGGTAAAATGGTGCACCCTTGTGATGGAGAAGCTTGGCGAGAAATTTGATAAAGACAACCCCGACTTTGAATCGAGATAGAAGAAATGTGCGACTAGTCAGTAGTAATCGATGGTTTCACACCATTTAATCTAAATGTTGCTCCTTATTCATGTTGGCGGTCTGTGACCCCACTAAATTTACCACCGGCACACTCTTAAGACAGAGTATATTTTCCTCTCCTTGTTCTTCCCGGTCCAAAGCACCACGGTAAAAGTTGAACATTCTAATGCAGCCCTTAGTTGATGAACTTGGGACCTATGGGTAGGGGTTAATTCTTGGGATGCTTGGTGAAAAGAATTTACATTAAGGGCAGCCTACCTTTGGTCACATACATGACTTCATGGCATATGGTGACTTTGCTGGATGGAGCACACATGGTAGATTGTCATGCCCATATGGATATGGGTGCAAAGGTTTTACACTACGTAATGGTCATAAGGCTTGCTGGTTTGATTGCCACAGGAAGTTCCTGCCTGTTGATCATGAATTTAGACAACAAGCAAATGCATTCCGTAAGAACACTAGGGTTTCTGAGGAGCCTCCTAGTATCTTAAAAGGAGAGGAAATGCAACGCCATTTGGATAGATTTGTAGGTGATTCAGATACCTATGGAAAATTGCATAATTGGACACATGCACTTTGCTTTAGGCAGCTTCCATATTTCTAGAAACTTCTTCTACCTCACAATATTGATGTGATGCACAATGAAAAGCATATGGCTGAAGCCATATGGAACACATGCTTTGATATAGGAGATAAGACCTCATATGGGTGTTATGATATCAATGGATATAGATTTCGCTCTGAGAAATATGAGAAAGGAAGACCAGGGCTAACAACCATTAATACTGGTGTTTGTGTTACTTCATATGATGAATCTGATAACGCTCTTGAGTATTATGGTGTCATAGAAGATATCATAAAGATAAAATGGGAGGGTAGTATTAAACTAGAGTTGGTTTTGTTTTATTGCCGCTGGTTTGATCCAACACCTAATGGATTGAGGCGCACAGAAGACCTAGGGTTGGTAGAGATCAAGCATGCAGCAAGATTAAAAAGTTTTGACCCATTTGTGATGGCTAGTCAAGTTACTCAAGTTTACTATCTGTTGTACCCATGCAAGGAGTTGTTACCATGGTGGGTTGTGTATCAGGTTGCTCCACATGGATGTGTACCCCGAAATACCGATAATACTGAGTCAATGAGTTCTGAAGAGACAATACATGATGTCTATCAAGAGGAAGGATTGGATGGTACCTTTGTTATTGATTTGGGGGATGCATTGGACACCATAATCTCATTGGGCTCTAACGAGATAACTGACCCAAAAGACTTGGAAACAATAGAGAAGGCTGTTGTTCAAGATGAAGGATATGATGAAGAAGATATTGAGGAAGAGTATGAAAGCACAGAAGAAGAGGAGGAACCAATGGATGAAGAGGCTGAGGAGACTTATGATCCAAATGATTTCTGATCTAGTCATAAACTGCAATTTGGAAAAACTTGTTGTTCCAATATATAGTCCTAGTAAAATTAATGTGATGTAATGCAGTTGGTTGTCTGACAACCAAAACTTTTCAATCTACTATTATTACTTGTGTGGACTATATAATTTTAGCTTGTTGTTCACCTTCTAAACTTATATTTGTTGTTTTTTTTTACTTGCTTGGTTATTCATTGCATCCATTTACCTTTTGTGCGAGACTTAACTTTTGTCCTGGCTATTTAATTCCTATGCTAATTTACTTTTTGTGGACTCTACTTTTTGTGCAGATGACTCGTGCCATTCGTCATGTTCCAACCAATCGTGCTACTAGCAATCGTGGCTCCCATGGCGGTGCATCTCATGGTAATCGGTACAGCCTCTCGCTAGTAGTGATGCCACCCAAGGACCGTGAGGTGCTCCTGCCTTGAGAAGAGCCACCTAAAAAAAAGAGGAAGGAAGCCAGGGCGCGTGATAGAATTAGCACTACCTAAGCCTGGTACCAAGGTGCTTCTTAAACTAAGTGGTGACGAGTGAGTACATTACTAATTGATGATTCATTGTTATTATAAATATTTGAACACCTCAAAAAAAACAAATATGTATGACTGCAAGCAGTTTAGCTATGTTGACTATGAGAACAAGGATCCCCCTTACAAATACACGACTCAAGTTGGAGTCGTTCTTAAGAGAGAATACCCTACTATGTTGGTTGAGGACAGAGACGAGAATGGGGCACTCATTAGGAAGCGTGCAACACTAGAGTGGGCAGATTATTTTTTTCTAGATCCTCTGAATCAAACGGGAGTGTCAAGTGCAGATCGTGTGCTTTCTGAATTTTGGGTAAGCAACACATAATTTTTCAAGTTAGGAGTATAACATGCACAGATAAGTTGCTTTTGTTGATCTAGCTTGTCTTGTACACATGCATCGCTTGTTTGAAGTCAATATAGATGACCAAGCAGAGGTTGATCGTGTTCTTGAAAAATATTTGAAGAAAAGAGTTAAGGACCTGTTGTATCAATCCCGTATGGATTGTGTGAAGGAGTACTACAGGGATCCCAATACACTTGAAACAATTGATGATGCACATGCTCGCCCGATACAGCTGTAGTATGAACAATACTTGGCTGGTAGGTTGAAGTGGTGCAGTGACTAGGTGTGGCCTAGGTTGTGTGCTTATTGGTGCACTGATGATTTCAAGCTAAAACGAGCGAGAGCACAGGAATGTCGCTTCAAATCACAAGATATTGCTCAAAATCGTGGAGGTTCGAGGCCATTCACGGAGACACAACAAGTTCTGGTATGATACCCTTGCTAATGAGTGTCTTCTTACTCGTAAGAATCTGTAAAGACTACTATTTGAATTATAAGTGCTATATCTGACAGAAAAGTGATAAGAGAAACCTCAGAATGTAACAAACAGCCAATCTGGACAAACAGACAAATTATTTTTTTAGCACAAGGTAATCTCGTCCAATATGAAAACAACCAATATGACATATGGCTGAGGATTACTAGCAAATCTGCATGTTCTGAACAAGTACAGATTACTATTTTTTTTATTTCTTTGCTGATGTTTACATTGAAAACCTATTCTATCTTATAGGAAAAGAACTTTGGTCCAGCAAAGGCAACATTTATGAACACATTTGTTGTGATGCATTCTGGTTTCAAAAGTGTGGATAGCACTAGCAGTAGTGGTCCAATTCGTTGTCAGAAAGCACAAAAGCTGATTGTAAGCACGCTCTACTTTGATATATGGAAACCATTTACTTTTTAGATTCTTCTTTTATGGTGCAAGTGACTACTTTATGTATGAACATTGTTTCTAGGATGACTATATGTCAGCTGTTAGGAGGGTTGCACATCCAGATGAAGTGGATGGAGAGCATGAGCACATGGAAGGGGAAGGGGATGTGGAAGAGGAAAGCCAGCAAGTGCATGAGCAAGAATTGAATGGCAAGGTCTTGTATGACCTCTCTGGTGGCACGCCCCATGGACGATTTACCATTGCAAATGGTGCTGTTAGGGCAGCTGATATCAGGGCAGCCGTGAAGGAAAACAATATCCGTCCATCAAATTTAGTTTCTATGCAAAGCATGGCACGAGAAGTTGCACATCTACGCTCTGAAAACACAAGGCTACAACAGGAAAAGGACAATGTAGGCAAAATGGCACTAGGCTTGATAGTGGTATGTGCAAATATCTGAATCTAAGATTTGTTGTTTCGAACAACATTTGTTCACATTAACGTGGTACATATTCGTGTGCAGCGACTTTATCGGCGTGTGGGCGAGGAAGTTCCAGAGGAAGCACTAGGCATTCTATCAACAACACAACCAACTGTGAGTATATAAAAAATATTCTATTAGCTATAAATCATAGATGGAAAATAAACAAAGTGAAGGGAATTTTATTCTTCTTTGTATGGCATTTAATTTAGGCATTTGGCTCCTATGTTTCAGTTAGCCTAACTAGAGCTTTTTGGTATTCAGCATGGCAGTACCCAGTGCACCAGTGAGGAAGTGGCCTCATGTTGATTCTTTTGTAGCTATGGACTTTAGTTGCACATAATCACATAATCATGTTACACTGAGATTCCAATGTTCACATCTGGTGGTAAGGTAGAAATTCACACTTTTTCGATTTTGAAGAACTAGGAAAAATTAGTATGTTATGCAAATAGGGCACCACAATTTCTGTTAGCTGAACTGATTCTGGACTAGTGGTATTAAAATAATTAGTAAACTATTCTTAGCTGAACATGTATACCTTGGTCAGTAACACATTCTTAGGTGAACATCTTTTGTTTTCAGCTGAACATCTTAGCTGAACATTCTTAGCTGAAAACAACTTTTGTTTTTAGCTGAACATGTTTTAGCCTTGTACTCATATTGACTAAAACACATGCAGCCTGGTGACTAATAATCTTTTACTTTTTCACATGCAGCCGGTGACTGGATCATCTCATGTGGGTTCCGAATCGACTAATGACGATGTTGCAGCAAATGAGAGACTCCATGGTGGAAGTAGAGCTGCATTGGAAACCAGTGAACTATCATAATAAAGCCACATGTGCAGGTGCTGGTGCTGATCTCACTGAAGACTGAATGGCTGTGTAGCCTGTTCTTTTGAAGTGTTTGCCCCTGCATACAATTTGGTTGGTACTAACCTTCAGCTAGTTCTTAGTGGCGTGGATGTTGAGCTAGTACTAACCTTTAGCTCGTATTCTTTTGAAGTGTTTGCCTCTGCATACACTTAGGTCAGTACTAGTGGTGTGGTTGTTGGGCTAGTATTGATCTTTAGCTAGTACCGGTGGTGGAAGGGAGATATGTTGATGCCAAATGTTTGGAGAAGTTATTTTGGGTAGATGGGTGCTAAATATTTGGACATCTCATGTATTTACCAATGTTGATGCAAACAAGACATCTATGTATGTAATTAATTTATTCTAGACTAATCTATATATATATATGATGGTGTATTGTATTTATCTTGGTATATGTCTCCATGGTTCAGTGTATATTATATTCAATATATCTGTTTTAAATTATATGGAAAACAGTATGTCAGTTTTTTTTCCTGTCGGTGTGATTTTTCCTGGCGGTTTAACACCGACAGGGAAAAGAAATTTCCTGATGGTCCTCTTTCGACAAGGAAATCACCACCGACAAGGAAAAATATATTTCCCTGATGGGAAGAAATCGACAGGGAAAACAGGCACCGGCAGGAAAAAAGCGATTTTTTTGACGGTGTGCAGACCGTCAGGGTAAATGATATAATAGCTTGTCGGTTTTGCACCGCCAAGGAATTTTATTTCCTTGTCGGTAATCCATTTTTTTATGGTTTCTACCATCAGAGAAAAGAGATTTTTATTGACGGTTTTGCAATTAACATGTGGGTTATCCACCGTCAGGAAATTAAAATCGTATTTTCCTGACGGTACACTGTCAGGGAAATAGCATTATCCCTGTCGAGCCAGCCTTGACGGTTATTCCCTGGTAGTTCACCGTCAGGGAATTTACTTTTAAATTTCCTTGACGGTGTTTTACATTTCCCTGACGGTCCGTACACCGTCAGAGAATTTCGGCTCTCCAGTAGTGCAGTTATAATGTTTTGGAAATCTTCTAATTTTTTCTAGATATTTCTTGAAGGTATCTAGAGATATTTCCGTGGGCTCTAAATATTTTTATTATGGTTTTTTGTGCCCATTCTATCTCTAGGATTTTTATTGGAATATTAGAGATTTAAAGAAATTTATCATAGTTTTAATACCTTATCAGGTATTGACACAAAGAATGGAGGGTCGATGACTGGAAGACCACCAAGGCCTCACCAGAAGATCACTATACCTCAATTGCTCGATCTCGCCAAGTTACAAGGGCACAACAACTCAGTCTCTTACAAACAAGGCATATACATCATTACATCCACTAATCACATGCTTTAATTTGATATGATCACTGAACTCTTATAAGGTTGGAGTATAGCTTCAAGTATAGAAGACCCTCTAGATTCGATGATCTCCAACAACCTTAAAAACACCTGCTAGAGGGGTATTAAACAAGTAAGCCAACTAGTCGTTGCTCCAACGGTCACATTTTTCGGCGATCATATGGTGGTACTATTTGAACTCTATGCACCGTTACTAGACATCTCCGGATAATGGGCTAACCATGAACAGTACAGCGGTGCTATGTAATTTCCTGTGGCCAAGTCTCTAACCCGCCTGGTCAAAAATTGTGAGCATCGGATCATACGCTGGTACAGTATTGTTTTCAGCACATAATCCTCTTAGTGTTTTGCTCATATCTCCTAGCTCTGAAATCCGTTTTTATGATCTTGCGTGTGTTTTTTTTGTGAGTCACTACCATGTTTTTTTTTGCTCTAGCATGTTAAGTGTTATCCTAAACGCTAAATGGTAAACAGTCGGTCACCCTTTGTTTAGCGTTTATGCGTTTAGACGGTGTTTAAACGGAGTTCAATTA